CCCTAAGCAAACATTCAGTGTCAAGGCTGTTACACCTTGTGTAGACAAGATACCATCACATACAGCTGGCTATCGTGCCAAGATAAGGCGGCATCGGCCGGACGGCTTTCTTGAGACTTCCACTCCCCGCGTCATAATCAGCCATTACCCCGCAGATAACTCAGCACCGAACACACTTTAAACAGGCAAAATGACTAGGGCATGGCAGCAGACGCACCACTGATGTAACTTGCAAGCAAAATTCTGTAAATTCTCGAGCCAAGCACAAGTTGAGTCACCTGGACTCCAGCCCGGTAAACGCGACGGACCGAAGGCACTAAGTTTGGTCGTCAGTTACTTCATTTCACACTATCAAATTAACTACTGTCCACATTGAGCATTGCGCCACGCTATACCCGGCAGACTAACAACGCACTCTTAGGTAAGCGGTTCCCAAGCGAAAGCAACTTATTCAGTGCTGTGTGCTGTTCTAATGAGCTATCAATACCTAGTACTCACCTACGCAGGTTATCGCTGCGGGCACGCTGGTGACATTCGACAACCGCAATGCTTCGCAGACAACGATGAGCAAATGCTTGAAAAGGCCTCAGAGCTTCAGACCGAAGGGGCTGATTTTCAATACCATAGAGCAGGACGGTCCCCACTGTGACCTTGTATTCCTTACCTTTCAGACAAAGAGAAACTTCTGTCTTCCAAGAAGTAGAAGTTCAAATTAACCTGTCTGACTTTTGCAGTTCGCGTATTGCCTTTAGTTGCTATCCGCCCATAGTTGCTGATGGAGATGCCAAGATAAGTCAGTCCAACCACCTCCTCGGATTCCTTCTTAGCAAGGGTTATGGGGTATTTAAGTGGCTGATGGTCCGACAGTCATACTTTGCGCTTAGAAGGTGTGAAGAGCATACTAAATAATGGGATCACTCTAGGCAGGCTATTCAGGGTTGAGTGTGCCGCCGCAACAGCTTCCACAAGCTAGATGATATGGTCCGCAAAGTCAAGCTAAACTAACTATTCATCAGGCAGCACTTCAACACTTACATGGGAAGATTCTGCAAGGAAATAATCCATGCTGGAGTCCACGGCGAATTTGAACAAAAACGAGGAAATCGGACAACCCTGACGAACGCCAGTTGTGGTAGGTAAGCTATCCGACAGGTGACCGTAGACCCGGATGCAACCTGTAGTTTTCGAGTACAGAGCACGCAGGATGCTCACATATTTTAAGGTATGACCTTTCCCCGCAAGTATTTCATTTAGGATGCACCCAGCAACTGAATTAAACGCACACTTAAAATCAAGCATCCCAGCTACTTTTGGTCTGCGGCATGTGTGGCTCTGCTCTAACACCTGTCGCAAAGTAAATATATGGTCTATACAGCCGTCCTGGGCAGAAACCTGCCTGCTCTTCCCTTATCTAAGCTTTCCGTTCCACAGTGAGGAGACGAACTAGAACCGTGGCCAGTAATTTCCTTACGACTGGAGGTAGGCTTACAGCACTTTGGTTAGAACAGCTTGTGCGACTGTTCTTTGTGGATACTTCTACTCTAATCGATTCACTCCAGTTAGCCGGGACACTCTTATTTTCAGGTATATTCGAATAAGGAGGTCAGCGCTTTGCAGAAGACCTCACCTCCATCCTTAAATAGTAAAGATGGGAGGGAATCCGAGCCAGCGGCAAGGAAACGCCTGCGGACTGCGATCGCGTTTTGAAACTCAGCCTCCGAAAAAGGCTCTAAACAAATAGGTCTTGACTCGACCTGAATCACCTTATTAGGCAGAAATACTAGGGCAGAGGGCCTGCAGAAAGGATCTTAACAGTGTTCTGCCCAACAAGCCATACTGAACTCCTTATTGTGTATTAGCCTACCCGCGCTGTCTCTGATTGTCTTTCTGAAGCCTGATTTCATGGGACTAGGGATGCGGATCGGCTAGAAGAGCTTGCAGTAATTGCACTTTACTTGTGCCTCCTTCATTTCTTGGGCACGACTGGTCCACCAAACTTTCTTGTCCGTATGCATGGACCACTATATTTTGCGCCTAATAAGTCGTCTAGTCACCTTTTACTAAGAGCCAGCTAGAAGATTCCCTCTAGATTCATACTCGTTTACCGACCTCTCGGATATCAAGTGACTAGGGCGGTGACGATTGATAGTGTCACAAGATGATTTTACTGCTTCGTGCATGGTGGCCAAAGCTCTAATCCAATGAAGTTCAGTGTCGTTAGGACAAGACAGCTAAATTTCGGTACGCAGTATGACTTGGTAGGCAATATCACAGTTGCCAATACGGAAAGACACTTGGTGGGTCTCTCGGGAAGCTCCCCAGCGAAAGGACAGCCTAGCAGGGCATGATCAGACTCGACACGGGTAGTTCAGTAGCAGCGGCTTTCCAGGATTGATTTACACCACCTGTACATTATGGCAATGAGCTAAATTTGGGTTCATCGCTGGCAAGCTACAGGTGTATGCCAAGTTTCCCTTCGTTGCCCACAGTTTCTAAAAGCAGTGCTATTAAGAAACACTTTGTGATCCGCACACAGGCAGGAGCTGGCGCTTGCTGTTAGCGTCGCGTTCGGAGTAAAGCCCATGCTGACCTCTTAGCTGAGCTTCTGAAGAGCGCAGACGCCCTACTTGTGCGTTAAAATCCTCTGCGAGTACTGAATATCTGAACTAGTAGTACTGGTTGAAGCGCGTTTACTTAGTGATTGATAGTGTTTTTAGGAACAGTAGAACTGCAATCGGTGGGAGCATAAGCGGAAAGTACAATAAAACAGCGGTTCGTACTACGTGACTCAAACCTGATGTCTTTAAACAGACTGTAAATAAACGGCTGTTCACGGGAGACAAATCAACCAACGATAGCTCGGGCTTGGAGCTTAGAATAATAACTACACCAGCTTGACACATCAATGCTACATCGGCCTCTTCGGATGCGGTTAACCAAAAACGGAAGAACAAGCCGTGCGCACTTAATTCAACAACCCCATTAGTCTCTGATCCTATTGTTGGACACACAACACAAGTCAGTACTCAGTGTGATTTAGGTGCGTGCGATTGCGATCGGTTGGTCTATTGGTCTTAGAGTGCGAACCTTGCACGTCCCCAGGTAAAAGGAATAGCTTGGTCTTATAAGGGACCGTTGCCAATAAGCCTCCGACGGGTGTTGTGGGAAGGTGGCCGCAGATGGGTATAGCCCAGTGGCACTTGGGTTGCACCAAATTAAGCTGGGAAGTATGGAAGGAAGATTAGCAACAGGGCTCGGGATAGCAGTAAGAGAAACTGGTGGAAACGAAAGAAGCGAACGCCAGCAGTAGCATCTTTTCGCTTATCCGCACTGCTGTATGCAGTAAACAAGGCGACCGTTGATAATCCGCGCGACGGCCGATGAAGGATGAGGTTTATTTTTGAAGAAAACGTCCTGGTTGTATGTGAGCTGCGATACTGCTAGGGCGCCCAGAACCAGACAGGAGGACGATTAGTGTGCTAAATCAAAGCCCTTGGTTCAAAGGCCTGTCCGCAAGAAAGCGGTGAGGTGGCGGTGATAGATTTACATAAATAAATGCCATCCCGATTCAAACCCCAACTTGGAGCACCAGGAGAATAAATTGTCCGAGCTCTCACCATTGACTAAGTTAGTAGGAGTGGCTAACACGTGGCTTGGAAGCATCACCCGGCATAGCGCATTTAAGCACGGAGGTACGCAAACTGTCACACCCCATCAAGGTGTAGTCTCCTTGGACAGACAATAACGGAATGTAGTTGCTTGATGGTTAAACTAGGAGCACAAAGCCTATGTTTAACTCACGCAATCGTACCTCGCATATAGGGAGAAAGGTCAAAAGATATTTTGATTATTCTATGAGTTCAAAGCGAAATTTTGTTTTGCAGTACATGAATCCTGGTCTTGCGTTACTCATTTACTCTTCCATGGGAACCAAAATTCGGAGTAAGGCGATCTTAATTCCGTAATCTCACTGGCATGCTACGTTTCTGTTATCATGTATCCCAATTAAGAAGCTGAAGACTGACGATAACCGATCGACTAACGAAAAGTTCTTACGTGTTAGTGTACAAACAGGATAATTATTTGCTATGCAAATATTCTTACCAGTTGTTGAGCTAATACTAGATAATATGTCAATTGTTGGAGGTAATCTATTTGATGTTTGCATACAGTTAGCCGCTGATAGCTATGCTCATCGTTTCTATGTTGGATTGACTGTTGCTTGCGACTTGAATAATATTCAACAAGTTTGTATGTGCTGCACGAATATAAGTAAGGTATGTAGCCACGCTAAATGCATGTCCGATCAGGGGAGTTATATAAGCCATGGGAGTTGGACACTCATAAGCTGCAATGCGTTTGGAGCTTCTGGTTCTCTTGTTCATTCTAAAGGATAGATTGTATTGATTAGTTGGGGCACAAGCGCGGCTATACTAAATTCCTAAAGTACAATCGCAGAGTTCTTTTAAATCTCAGTTGTCTCAATCAACCTATCGCACATTTCTATGAGTGCAAGTAGACAACTAACAACTGTAATCACCGGACATGTTGAACAAAATGCACGGCAGCGGGGGTTTATGATTGGCGGTCTCAATTCTTGGACAGTCTTTATATCACGTATTTGATGAATAATTAAAAAGGATTTCAAAATTTTAACCTAATCTTAAAGAATTTGACACATTTTTAAGCGGTCCGCGTTGCATCATATTGGAATGCTGGCTGTACTCTTCGCCCACGTGATGTTTTTGAGTGTCACCGCATTTGTCGCTGTAAGCGTTGTGGCATTTCACGGTAACTGCATTTAAGGAGGGTATATTTTATGAGCAATCACTACTTGCTGCTCTGTCGTCATGAGTCAGTGTGCAATGCATTTGTTCAGCAACTTCGGCCTTGGCTGCTTTGTTTTGATAAAGCTTAGCTTCATTGGATAAGAATATTCTTTAAAGGAAAAGCTTTATAAACATTGCAAGGAGGATTATAAGGAATTCTGCGCTGTAGTAATGTTACTACGTCTTTTGCAATTTTGTCTCCTTGGTAAGTTCGTAACACAAATGTGGTGTAACGGTTTATGATCCTACTATGTATCCGATGTTAACTGAGAAAATTAGTAAATTTCGAATAAATTATGGTTAAAGTGAATTTCAGATTTACTTGTTGAACATGGGTAGCCAAGTGAGTTATAATATTTAGTTGGACGCCAGAATAATTAATAAAATCCGAAACTTTGTAAAGCATATTTAGAACAAAGCTCGTCAGCTTCGTGCATTCCGTGCTGCTTCCCCAATATCAGAACAGTAGCTGGATATAATATGCTATTGCCAGTGGGTGCAGACTAGATACAAAAAGAAAAATACAATTATTATCACTACGTTTATGGTAAACTAAATCAGAGCTATGGTTGCCGTAGGACACAATTCCTTGGTGAAACCCAGTTTTTCACCATTTTGTTTGTGAAATCATGCAATGCGAATTTTATGCCAATCAGAAATTTAGTTACTGAAATTGGGGCACTGAAAACAACACGGATGACAAGAGACTTACGTCGGCCTGCTTACATCGATGATTTCACTCGTGAAATTGTAACGTGACTTGGGCAATTTCTAATTAAATTCATCTTGACTCGTTTTCACAAACCCAAAGTTATTTCGGTTTCGCCAGTGCGAGTTTTTATGCACAAAAGTAGGTAAGCACCGCTGTAGAACACGCATCCATTGGGTTAACTCCCATCTTGCACCCTAGCTCTATGCGATCATGGAACTAGCAGCCATGACAGAACCAGTAAGTCAAGGAGTTTCAGACTGAAGTGAGACACCTTACATTGGGTCTACTGAGGAACAAAGCCTACTCGATTTGGGCTGCGTTTTCACGCAGGCCGCCAACATAGTAAATAGGTCCTTATTAAATTCACGTGTACGGAATAAGACCAATACTTCATACATAGTTAGTTCTGCTGCATCATAACAATCCCGTTGCTTGCGTATCGCCCTGACAGATGCAGTAACTTATATTAAAACAGTGATTTAGGCTTACTTGTAGCAATCATACAGCTTCAGCTCATCTGGAGCAAAGGAACATGACTGGTTTTTTTGCATTCCTTGGATTGTTTGTATCTGCGCTCGATGACAATTTTATATTATTTACAGGTATCGATAATAGCAGTAAATAAAATGCCTGAATTTCTCAAACTTCGTATCCTAACTACTTTTAACTAGAAACAACTTTTTAACCTAAATTTTTGCCCGTGGTATGTGCACTCAGACTAAATTAATGTTTTGTGAACGACAGCTAGCTAGAGAAAGTCATGTTCGGCAGTAGCTTATATCCCCAATCATCATCATTCCCGTTTAGAAAACATACGCAGTTACTGTTAGCAATTAACCTTATTTAACGGAGAAGCGTGCATTTAATCATCAATATACTTATAATATCTGGCACATATTTCCTAATGAACCGAACTCAAGCCGAACATATCACCTATACACACTAATGGTCACATGGCATTACTAATTCATATAGCAAATGTTGCGTTACCAAACGTAATTCTAATAGACGTGGAATAAAAGGCATGTGAATCAAACAAATTGTCCCATTGCCGTCAACGCTATAATTCAGGTCTCCGAATCTACTTAATCCTTTCGTACACAAGCAAGTAAATTGATGTAAAACGTTGCTGCTTATATTGCAATTGATGTACCAGATTTCTTAGCAAAAGGTAGCACAGTTACCGGTCTTTCCTTATAAATTACGCAAATGAGAGTATGTGTAATTAATACACACTATTTGAAAATAAAATTTATGCGTGTGTACATTTGTACACACTGTATGAAAAGGTTAACCAGATGAAGTGTATCGTAGTTTCGTTTATTTTTCAGTTTCTTACTCTATGAGCGAACGAACTAAGTACAGTGAGTAACCTTTCGGCCTATTTTACTAAAGATAAGCTAAACTACTTTGTAATTATAGCATAACAATTGTCACTTATTTTCTTACACAACAATGGTCTTTGTTACTTTGCAAGGATTAGGTATTAAAAACGTATTATTGGTATCTGGTACTGTGACTTTGAATGCAGCTACCGTATTGATTTTGAGCATCGTCTGTGAAAGTGTAGTGCTTGCCAAACCAAGGACCATCGACTTAAATCTAAATTTGCGATAACTGCTGGAATGCTGAATTCCTGATCTGAGAAACAAGATGTTGTTTTTCTTTCTGTCAAAAGCATTCCAAGTGGCTGGATACATACTAGAGAATGGAAAGAATGTAACGTGGACTGACGAGATGAAAGATCCAAAAAATACTGACGTTCGGGAAATAAGAGAAAATATATGTGAAAGGGTGAGTACAAGTTTGAGTTTGTGGTATGGGCTGATGATGCGCTTTACGTGCATTGTTGAACTGCCTTGATGCAAACTGTGTTGCGCAGACTGTCGAAACAATAACCGTAGCATCCCAGCTGAGAAAAAGGATGAATGAGTTTAGAGAAGCTGCGTTTATATTTTACGCCAATTTGTAACTTAAGGAAATGTCGCTTATTAGTAATCGTTCAACTCCCGTATGTCAATGCATAATAGAAATACCGGCTCTACAGCGTCTATGAATTCCTTTATTAAAAAACCTGGCATTTTATGCAGATTTAGTTAAGAATGATTTCTATTTGACAGATTTTAAACTATTTGCCTTATGATTGACTACGGCGTTTCTTTGAAATTACGCACCTATATTTGGTGGGTAGGAGAGCAGAATAGGATTGAGCTATCGTCTTTATTTACCCACGTATACTGGGTGTACCACATTGTAGTCAAAGTCCGCGCACTGTCAGAATCTCCAACTGTCGTTCATATTGTAACGGAATCCAGCCGCTGTTCCGAAATCGCCTTCCAATTATAATACTGCTGCAGTACAGAAGTATGTGGACGATAAAAAGCTGAATTCGCTAAATAAAGCAACTTACATTGAGATATCCAATGTGTTTTCTTAGAGCTCGTAAGTGTCGCAGTAACCAAAGCAACTGTTTCATCTTAAAACATGTCGCACTGCTGCTTCATTAGGAGGCATTTTGTAGTTTACCCTTTGTAAACATTTTGAGCCCATGGTCTAATTGGGCATTGCATTTGTAAATTTGTTCATAGATTACAAGAGCAGTTGAACGTCTATCAAACGTACCAAAATACAAGGTGAAATGCAGTCAGGTGGAGATATCCGGTAGGCCATTCCGCGGAAGATTGGAACTTTTATTCCAATTGAACAACCAACTTGTGGATTTTGACTATCTTAACAAAACACACGCAATATTGGAGAAGGAGATTAAAAGGATTACGTTGCAGAACTCGAAGGAGAATGGTTTGGTTCTTGGAGGCATGCAAACAAAATGGAGTAAGCGACATAACCAACCTCACACGAGGATCGATTACAAAATTATTATCATAATAGTATAAATGAGACATCAAACGAACTGCCTGTATGCAAGTTTACAGTGCATGTTGATAGAACATTTGAATAATGGTTCAAGGTTATTCTATACACAGAATGACGCGGAATAGAATTTCATTTATAAGCTACATGCATGATCGTGCTTTAATTACAATGTATGATTAATTTGCGCATTTTCTTACCATTCAAATTTTAGTCAATTTTGGAGCGATTTACGATTTGGGTAAGCCACATATGAGTAGTAATCAATTCCATGTCAACTTTTACATTATCTTTCTAAGTACAATGTTACGAATTCGTATCCCTAGTCACACCGAGCTCCGTTTAATTCTGCTTAAATAAGCGTATTTTATTCTGCTAGAAACGGACATTAAGCATATTTAACTACCGGTTCGTTTTTAGATAATTAATTTGATTGTGCACTAACAGTTGGCATAGTTTAATTCCTTACATCTGATTGCCTAAATCTGGCAACCGTACTAAGAATCCCTTGCGTACAACTCACTTATATTTTTGTGATAGAAATGATCAGCATTTCTGAAAACATTTTAAATCGAAATATAAGCGAGGCTATTACCAAAAGGTTAATAAACTGGTACTTGTTTAAAACCTACGTAAGATTGTCCATTACCTTTGTCTGATGCACTTTGGTCGGTGAACTGTCTATTCCAATGCAAACCTTTTAGTTTAAGCTTAGGCTTAGAAGCCAACAGATGGTTAAGTTTAAACTGTGTGTTGAATCCATAACAGTCTATTTAAACCGAGAGTCCCTATATATGACTGTTACAAAACCACTACCTTATTATTACCAAAAGTATTAAAAAATATATATACTCCGGCAAGTCTAAACAAAATATAAGAATAAATTTGCAAACATTTTGTAGTAAGTATCTTAGCTTAATATACGATGTTTCAGGAACACGTTTTAAAAGCATTAACTTCATAGAACGATTAAACATTTAGAATTCGATGACTCTCTTTTTCCGAATATGTTTTTCGGAAACTCCCTGTACTAACATTTTCAAATTATTTCAAATATCCTTGTTTATCATTTGCTTTTGCAGTTGCAATTTATACCGTTGGGGTATTCGACAACGGTCAACTCACTGAATGGGTGGATTCATATAATGCCCCGGAAAAACTGAAGGCGCTGGAGAAGAGTATTTGTCTAAAAGTAGGTACAATTGTTTTAGACCATATTTTGAAAATGATAAAATGAATTGCTCATCAATCTTAAGCTAGTCCGCGTTTCTCGTGCGAACAGTACTTATCCGTGGATGTGTCCCAAAATGCAGTGCACTTCAGTGAGCTAGAAATAATTGAGCAAATTACATGTCCGGTATCACTAAGGAACTTTACGGTGTTTGTTGTCATTATTTGCAACCAGTATCTCTGTATAAACAGCATTTAAACCAACGTGACAGTTTATGTGATAGTTTGTAATTTCCTCAGTTTAGCATGATCCTCAAATCTTGCCAGTACCCTGTGTAAACACTACAATCCACGCAAACATTTTACCTCGTTAGCCCATAAGCGAGCAACTTTTGTCTCACTGATTGTGATTCGAACATTTACGTTAGGTTGGCAATGATACATATGTTATAACCATATTTAACAAAACCGGAGTTGTGCACTCAATTTTCTTTATAAAAACCGGTTGATTATTACAACCACTGATTTAGCAAGGCTAAATGGAAAAGCAGGATTTTTATAACCAATATATATACATATTATTGAGTACAATATACAAATATACCCTACGTAATTAAAGAACTGAAGTTTTACACTCGTTGTTTAAATTGATTATACATGGTCTTCGAACAATTGTTGCAAACGCCAGCGATGTATGTCCGGCGCGGTAATATGGAGAGTATAAGCCTTCTATTCTTCGCAGTTTATTCTGGTTTTAAACAAATACTTTCCTTTGGTTTTGCCAAGATTAACAAGATACATTTTGCAATCACACTTTATTTTCTCTGAATAATGAGATGTGCCTGGTCAAAGTTCGTTGTTGTTTTTCAGTAAATGCTGTTTCATTTAACCAACTACCAACTAATGCAGGTACAATTATGCAAAGTTAAAAGCAGCTTTTTTATGTCTTCTTAGGCAAAAGCAACTAGGTTTTGCTAAATATTTCATGTGCGCTTAGCAAACATGCTGACTAGCGACTTAAATCAACTAACGTATGTTTTTTAATTGTTTGATATAATGTATTCCGCGAGGAAGTCTAAGTTAGAGCTGAATGGGGCAGGTACATATATATCATGACTAGAATCTGTCGGAATGCTACCTTACGCCAGGCAGTGCATTGTACGGTCGTTCCTTTCTTTTCATTGTCCTTAGTAGTGTGTTCGAACACGGACTTAGACTGCTGCAGGTCAGAGGTTTACACACCTGTTGGTTCGAGTCCCAAATAGGTTGTGTGAACCAAGTACTGCTGAGGATTCCAAAATACGGCTGCACAGTGCTTTACGGGCAAATAATGACTATAAGGCAGAGTGTAGTTTTGAATATCTTCTCCTATCACTCAACGACCTTCTACACACTTGTAATTTTTACGCAGCACAGAGCAATTACGAGAGTGCAATAGAATGATGGTTTATAACGGGTATAAAAGCAAGTGAATGACAAGTCGCATAGGATTTTTGGGTGAAAATACAAGAAAACGTGCTAGTTTAGAAAAACGAGAAACATGACCCAACAGATTGTTCAGTGTAGCACAGAAGTTTGTGTTCTAGCTTAGAGTCTAAGGGAATTTTGACACCGTGCAATGTTTGTTCTTCAATAATGCCATCATCTGCTGATCATGAGCTACGTCACGCAGTGTAACTGTGAATCCGCGTCACCAAGTCGTTTTTTGTATAGAGTTACGCTAGTGCAATAATTACAAGCGCTTGGAGGGTGTTTCAAGGCTGTCGGAGAGAGAAATGTGTAAATGGCAGTCCATTCAGCGGTACTGCGTAGCCAAACTAATGAGATGAATTTTTAGGCAAGTGATTTGGCTGTTTTAAATGATGGCAGCATATGTGGTCGGGACATTTTAAGAATCTAAAGAGCTATTAACTAATCTGTGTGTATAGATAGATAATGACCACTCTACATTATTCAACTTTTCAGCTTGAGTCAATAAATTTCGTGGAAATAATAGTTGACGTTCTCTGCCTCCTTGGCTTGAACACCAACGAGCGCAGTGAATTGGTGCTTCTAATATAGTTGCTCCGCTTGGGTTTTATAATTTGAGTGCGGCGTCATATACGTGCCACACATTTTGGGTAAGACTGGGGTGGCGAAATTCCGGATTGCCAAATGCAGAATGCCGAATTGTTGCTTCGTTTACCATAAGTCAAATAGTGGTTTAACGTTGGTAGGTTATTCCCTTGTTGAGGACGTCACTCTGTCCTCTGAGCGGTACAAGTATGCAAGGCAATGAAGCGTTAGATGGATTGCGCATTGCCATTGACTTTCTAAAAGATAAAACGGATGTGCAGCGCATTTCCGGGTGTGTGATTGCTGTCCAAGGTTTGTTAGATTTCCACCTAATTTAATAAATGATCAAGTTATGTGGTTTTGGATGAGGCACAAACAGTATTTGGTAACATGTTTAAAAAGGCCTCAAATGAGTTTCGTTTTTTAACATATTCCACTGAATGCAAACTAACATACCAGGGTATTGCGAAATTTTAACTCCGCTGGAGTTTGATGCAAACGGTAGCGAAATGGGTCAGTGTCCTCTAGCAACATAAGGCGGATGATTGTATGGGAGAGGACCCGTTACCCTCGACCCGGTACTTTAGCATTAGCACTGCACTGTGACCGTAACTAGGGCAAATAAAGGACCATCAGCAACAATGTCCTACTCTAACACAAGCCGGCTTGCTATTATAATTTTAAACAAAGAGTAAAAGAGAAAAACATCTTCCGGAGGTTTACTGTATCGTTGAGTTCATTAGTGTTAAATTTCGTTGAAATAAACCTCTAGGGCTCAACGGACTTTAAACAATCAGGTCAGCACAAATAGCCAGGAAACAAATGTTAAGATTTATGCAGAATACTGAATAGTTCAGTTCGTTAGCTAATATTTTGATTTCGCACCATTAACTCTAGGCTAATACAGATAATTTTGTCATCGTATTATTAAGCATAAACCACGTATTTTCCATTATTATATGAAACCACCGGCCGAAAACGGCGTGACGGTTAAAGTATTGCCCCAGATATCTTCTGTGCTTTTCAGATTATGGCATGGGTGGAGAAGGAACCGCAAGTGAAAAATACCAATGTCAAATGTAATTTGTTTCCACCGTCTCCAAGACACGTGTTTGCTTCATACGAGGCAACGTTTAACAAAGCAGGAAAACATATACCGTCATTGGTTCAGGCGATTGAAATTTTTCGGGCGACTCCGGCGACAGAACCAAGCCGCTATGATATTGATGATGGATCTGCAATCTTTGGTGGATACAGCTTAACGAAAAAATTATGCAACTATTCTGTATCCATGTACACATATTCTCAACAAATAATTATATTTGGTGTTCTTGCAGGTTTGAGTACATATTAAAGTATCATGAGCAGGATTAATCGTTATTACAAAAACCATATTAATGTTGATTTTCTTATAGCTGATGGGAAACTTTCATTCGTATATACGCGTTGGATCAAATATTTTATGCATTTACTTATTCATAATCTTTGCACAGGGGAATTTACTGTCAATGATCGATTGCAACTGCATAACCTGTTAACTCCATGAACTTATGAAATAAATCGTTAGATTCAAAGCTGAATTTAGAGAGCACGCTGTGTGGTTGGGTTGCGACTCGCAACCTCTATTGAGTCCTCGGCTCACTTTGAGGTAAACCTCGGTCATTTCGATCTCGAGGACCGTAGTCTGAATGGATATATTTGGGTGTTGCTCTTCCCAACACTGACACACTACTGACAACTCGCTAGATTTCAGTCGATGGAAGTTTGACAAATGTGCTTAATTGTATTAACAAATTAACTCAGTAACTTTATTCCGCTAACCCCTTTTCGATAGAAGCAATCTACTCAATCAGATTGTATTAAAACTAATCCCCAATGATACATATTTACCCAGTAAATACTTCACTATACACATTAGCAGCCTAACTGCTTTTCTTTTGCCACAACGAAAACCCGTCCCATCACGGTTCATGAGATTTCAACACCGTCGACAATCAGGTTAAATATTTACAACCTGACATTTGTAGTCCACTTTTAAGCGAAAATTGCAAATTGCAAATATCAAGTTGGTAGTACCTGAGATGGTGCTTAGATAGCACGGAGCATTTTGCTAACGGCGCAATTCATCATTTACAACTGTGCAGCTGTTTTGGATGTCAGCATTCTAAATATAAAATTTCTTCATGTGATCTTTGAAATTCATGTTAGCCAGAGCTTCTGTTTGATTTAAACTCCCCATCATAAATGCTGTCAAAAAACGAGCATCATTTCAGTACAATCAAGGCTTTATGATCCATCTTCGTTACAAATGGTTGTATGCATTTTCTGGTCTCTGTACTACTAAGTCCTTAACTGATACGGCTTAGATAACAGCGCAAAAGCTGCAAAAAATGTTAGTTACTGAGACTAGTGTAATATCTGTGCATAAAAATGCGTAGTTATAGGCAAGCAAAATTTGGTAAGAGGGTCGATGGCATAAGATGGATATTAGGTCGTTTAGTGTAATGGATAAAAAACCATCACATAAAAATAGTTTCAACTGCATAATCTCGTAATTGGTAACTGCGGGAGACTGGATGCACCTATGGTAATAACAAACTTGGTAAGAGAAATAGGAAAAAACTGATAACCTATTTATAAACCCAATACATTCATCATAAAAATGCGTTGCATAAAAACCCTTAACACTTGAAGCCTTAAAGGTTATACGTGCTATGTCCAATCTAGGATTACCGTCTAACAATTGCTATGTTCAGGAAAGCGGAAAAGTTCAAAAGCGGGATCATAGTCATCATGAGACTTCATGACCAATTTGTATTACCAAATCAAGTATTATTATAAGAATAACTATTGCAACAATATGCGCCATAAGCAAACAAATTGCCAACTACTCATGGACGCCTGTTTGCAGCTACAAAATGCGTAGCATTTTATGCACTTTTGGATAAATATGACATTTATATATACCTAATATCGATAATACACGTTGTCTAGGTATAAATCAAAGTCTACTAAACGGCTGCTATTTTGGATGTATTTTGCACTTTCGTCAACAGGAAATCAAAATCTTAGAAATATGGGGGCTTCTTTTAAAGACCAGCTGGATGAATCTGAAGTGGACCGTTAAGTAAATTGTGCGTGTCCGCAGATAATATTAGATTTTAGGCATTAGCTCACGGTTTGAGAAGGTTTAGGAACCCTTGCATTTCAAGCCTTCTAGTGCGTTACCGTCTGTAAGATAACGACTACTTTGAAGACGCAGTGACAACACAAGCACAGGTAGCAACAAACAAACCCGGCACGACGCAAGCGCGTACAAAATGTATAATTAAAATCCTTTACTTTAAATAAAAGCGAAAAATGGTTGGTATCATGAGTGAGAAAGAGAAAGTTAAAATATAGCGTATTCACAACCAGTGATTAGGCTCAGCACAACGCGCAAAAGCCGGAGCACTCTGTAATGCTTAGAGTTGGGGGCCGCGTAATACACACTACGTGTACAGCTATCACGACAACTCCAATTAGGCTAATAATGATGTCTCACTGATTAAGGTCATCCAACTGCTTACGTCTTATTGATGTCAACTTTGATTCCGGGATATTGGTGGATACAGTGCTCAGTATAGGTAGTTCTTGCTTTATCCCTTTCGACATTTCCAACTTAGTGCTTAAATTTATTTGAAGATGTGCCACAGTGAACCAGTGATGCTTGCACTATTAGAAATCCGCTTTGTTTCTTACTTTCCGGTAGAGTTGGGGGTGCTGTGAATTTTAAATGACAGCTTATCTTGTAAACAAGCGTGACCGAACTTTCGCTTGTACCGCTTCCACATTTGCTATGCACTGCCTTGTGAGATTTCAAGTAGCCTTACTTGTAGTTATTAAGATCGAATTGAGAACCGCATCAGTTAACTATAAGAAACTTTTGGTTTCGTAACCGCAGTTTATGTTTAGGGATAATGGTGTCATTTTGCTTACAATGTTACCAGCCGTTCTCCTCAGGATTGGAGCGACAATTTTTGAGGAAGCTTGGGTTGTACAGTATTCTAGTTATACGCCAACTGTAACGAATTTTGTGAGCACCTTTTTCTCAAACATGGCTAGTGACCAGTCGTATTTCTGCGATAATAGAAACCCGCTTTTTATTGGTGGGATAGCTGCGCATTCTACGCAGAACCGTACACAATCTGGTTTGTTTAATAGCTTGGCCTGCGTAGATTAAAGTGGGATGTCTTTCGTATCAATAAATTTGCAACAATCCTCCTATTATCAAGTTTGGTACATGGTCCACAAATATGTTTAGACTGTGGCACGCTGAGCATTATGTTTTTTGTGCAAGTGTTACGAACCATTAAATCGCCTCACCCTCTATGGTAAGCAGTTGTTCTGTTTCTGCCTTTGACGCCAAGGTTACAGCGTTCACTCTGCAGTTGTGTGCCTGCATACTGTCTTATCAGGCGTGCCACTGGATGTTTCAACGGGAACGTGTTGCAGATTACATGAGTGTGTTTAGAAACTTTCCTGTCTAGACCTATGGATCGCTCCTGGGAATTGACCGTGAGACCCGCAGCTGCTCTATGCAATGCTGGGTTTTAACGAATGAGAGTTCGTTTAAAAACCGTTAAAATGATCTACCGTGTGAGACCAAAAGTGCATCCGATATTTGGGGTTACGCAAACTTTGGCAGTTGGATGACGGCGAAACAATGCCCGGAATTTATAGTTCAGGAAAGATTTAGAATGCACTGAAGTGTACTCCAGAAAATGTTATCGCGTGGTGACGCTTGTAAAAGCACAGAGGAAATGTCGATGAGCAACAACTAAAAATCTAAGTGTGAACCACTAAGCGATTAGCACTTATGTTTGTTCAAGGTCACGTAAGCATATGTAACCGACGTCCGATATAGTTATTTGTTGTATATTTCTGGTGGCATTGTGCATAGTGGTTCAACCCTGCATTTTCTCCTAATGCATCTCTGTCCCCAAAGTAAATTTACAAAGGAACTTAATGTTTATAATGAGTTTTTATACCTCGTCAATCATAGAACTAGAAGGGGAACTATGACGTGGTCCAAGTCTACGCATGAGGTGCCTTTGATCATAACCCGCGATCCTTGTCTGTTTATCAGCCAGTAAAGTCATCCCAGGTGGCTTTTGCTATAGCTTCTACAAGGAGTAGAGTTTAAGGCTTATCTGCGCGCCGGTGTCATCCAAAATTGAAGGTTGGTCACGGAATTGAGTACTTACAATAGGAGAGTAATTATTTGTCCAACAACGGTCGTGGACTTTACTGGCTGGCGTCGTCGTTTCCCGCTTCGGTGTTAGCCTTTAAATGAATACACACTGGGCGGCAGTTTCTTGTAACATCAAAGCGGTAGTGTAAGTAATAGTGCTGGTGCAATTTTTGCGCGCGTAGTTTATTGCAAGGCTTATTTCCGGAAGAGGATGTTCGGTTTTGCATTCGATCCCTTCTTACGTGAGAAACATTTTTCTCCAAATTTGTTAGCCTCTCACTAACAGACTCGAGTGTGACACTCACCTAAGTGCTTGCTGTGGATGCCAAAGAGAAATGATTTACAGGAGTTTTAAGGAAACTTTCATTAACTTTGTTAGCCGCTGCAACTAGTTTAGTCAGTAGAAGGTCATCGGCATTAAAGCTAGTAGCGCCAACCTGTTTGCTGGATGACATTGGAAAACGAATGAATCGGAACACCTCTGTTTCTGTACTTTAAACCCACAATTATCAACGCACATTTGTGTACCATGACTTCTACAAATCGGGTTTTCCTGAGCCGTACATTGGCAGTACCACTGCAGGTTTGTGCCGCGTATACCATTGCTGCATTTGTCATAGCACTTATCGTGGGACATCAACAGAGGGCATCCTATCCTTTTAATCCTCATTCGATGGTGTGATTTCATACATATTTCGATATTGCCTTATCACAAAAATCCGACAATTTGATTGACAAGTGCAGCGCGTTTTGTGACAATTATCCAAGCAATAACCAGAGTAGATATATTTGGGTGTTGCTCTTCCCAACCCTGGCAACAACACCCTGGCAACACCCAAATATATCCATTCAGGATACGGTCCTCCAGATCGGAATGACCGAGGTTTACCGCAGTGAGCCGAGGTCCCAATAGAGGTTACGAGTCGCAACACAACCACACAACGTGCTTCCTAAATTCCGCTTTAAATAATCAAGTAGCTTGGATTATACCAAGCTTATCAAGGTGCTAATTTCAACCAAGTCAAAACCCGTAATCAACGATATCGGAATGCAAAAGGCTTACATAAGTATATACGCGCTTTGACCTCCATCGGATATGTTCTCAATAATTATCCCACGCG